TTAAATCCAGGCCAGACCTGCCAAATAATGACACGACCAAAAATGGCCAAGCATTGTGGCAGGCACATAAAGTCCCAGCTACTTGGAAGGCTGAGGCTGAGGCAGGGGAATCTCTTAAGCCCAAGAGTTTGAGGTTGCTGTGAGCTATGAAACCAGAGCAGCAGCTTGAGCCTCTGTCTCAAAAAGAAAAAATAGGCTCAGCACCTGTAGCTCAACTGGCTAAGGTGCCAGCCACGTACACCTAAGGTGGCGGATTCAAATCCAGCCTGGACCCGCCAAACAACAATGATGGCTGCAACCAAAAAATAGCCAGGCATTGTGGCAGTTGCCTGTGGACCCAGCTACTTGGGAGGCAGAGGCAGGAGACTCGCTTGAGCCCAAGAGTTGGAGTTGCTGTGAGCTGTAATGCCATGGCACTCTACCCAGGGGGACAGCTTGAGGCTCTGTCTCAAAAAAGGAAAAAGAAAAAATAATAATAGTAAAAGTTAAAACCATTAATAAAGAGAGAGATGGAATCATATTTTATCACAAGGGTGGAGTGCAATTATGCCATCATAGCTTGCTGCAGGCTCAAACTCCCACATTCTAGTGATCCTCCCACCATAACCTCCTGAGTAGCTAGAACTACAAGCACATGCCACCATAGTAGGCTAATTTTTTTCTTTTCTTTTTTTAAGGGATGGGACCTTCTGTGTTGCCTAGGCTGGTCTTAACTCCTGGCCTCAAGTGATCCTCCTGCCTCAGCCTGCCAAGTCACTGGGATTGCAGGCATGAGCTCCTGTACTGGCTATAACATGTTTTAATAGGCATATCATTAATGGAAACTGGAGTATAGGGAAAAAAAGTGCATTAAAAAACAGACATGGGTATGATCTGGGAGGGGAAGGTATAATAACAGAATCCTTTTAATCAAGATCCTGGGGAAGAACCCACAGCCCAGCATGCCTATCACTTTCTATAGAGGGTGAGAGGAAAACTCGTAGAGGACATGCATCAGAGTGTTTGGCTTATTCCCACTGCTCCTCTCAGTACCTGAGGGTAATCCAACCTATATCTACCACATAATCAAGATGAGGGCACACTACATTTGCCCTTCATAAGTCACCTTTTTTTCCTTTGTATTTATTCTTCAGAGAGATCTGCTACAATTTATTTTAAACTGTAGAAATATATAACCAGAATCATAGTAACATTTTTCCCCTATGGATAGGCATTCTTAATATCCTTTGTAAATCTACTTCTAATAAGTTAGACAAATGTCAGTTTCATATTTAGAAAGTTCACACAATACTGTTAATGTTATGGTATAGTTTCCTACCCCTTCTCCGTTTCAGGTTAATTTTGTGAATATTGCAGAAACCAAAAGCATTTCAGTTATTTTTCTTTATGTAGTTAACTTAATTGAAACACATATAAAGCAGATTAATCATAGAAGAAAGTATTGCTTTCACATTGAACAAAACACAACAATCTAAAAATAGATTTTTTAAGTCTATTTTGGATATTTTTTATTTTAACAAACCATATAACTTGAATTAAAAGTACTGTACATATTTTCCAGTTCTTAACTCAGGAGAGGAAAACAATGTCTTCAGGTTAAATCCTCTGGTTCTGTCTCATTGTTGAGTCCTTAAATTGCTGTCATCATCCTCTTGCCTCCGGATTACTGACACAGTTTCTAATTCCTTCCCTCGCCTTTCTCCTGCAGTCCATTCTGGGCATATTGTTGTGTCTGTTGGCATCCTGCCATTTCCCCT